CTAACCTAATCTTCCTTCAATCTATCTGGGGCATGTCCCTACCTTGCCCCCAAATCTTCAGCGACTCCCCCTCATTTACAGAAGCAAGGACAAGCTTCTGGAAGAGTCATGGAGACCTCAAGCCACCTGCTCTCTCTCACGTTCTCATATTCATGTGAAATCAGAACGCCCAGAGCTGCCCAAATGTATCCTGCCCACACTTATGTTTTCTCTCTGTCTTTGTCAAAAGCCCTCATTTAGAATTCTTCCTTCTCCAAGATGGACTTTTTGGGTCGTCCAGCCCTACGGACTGAGGAACGCCCACCTCACTCTGCCTGTGTGTCACCCAGGGCCCTCAGTCGCTGCCCTCCATTGCAGGCGCGTGTACTCCTTCCCACCGGACTGTCGGCTCCCTGAGCACAAACGTGGGTCCCCACTGTCACCCCTGGGCCAGCCAGAGTCCCCTCCCCTGCTCCCACAAGCCTCCATCTTTCTTCCTTCAGGGTGAGGCCGGGGGATTGCAGCTCATCCGTCTTCCTCCCTACACACTCACAGGGCTGGCTGTGTGACCTTTTGCATCTGTGGATTCCCCCTCATGCACTCTCTCTCTTTTTTTCTTTTTGAACACAGGGTCTTGGAGCTCGCTCGGAGGCCTGGCCCGGCTGGGAAGAAGTTGTCTGCTCATTTATATTTAGGCCAGCAGAGACATCAATCTAAGTCTCTTTAAAAATAAAGTCCTGTTTCAGCTGGATCCCTGAGCGCGTCCCCACCCACTCCTAACGAGAAGCCGTTCGCCTCCTCCGGGTCCCAGTCTCCATTTCAGACCCTTCATGTGGCCCACACATGTGTGAACGTGTGGTAGATGTCCGTGAACAGTTGCCCTCCCTGGCCATGTTCAAGGGAAGATTTCTCTCCTCTTCTGGGCCTTCCTTTGCTGGGGCTTTTCTCTCCTTGCTGTTCTGGGGACCTTGCAACCTTCTTCAAGCGCTCTTCCCTCCCAAATTAGCCAGAAGCAGTCCCCGTTGATGGAGAAAACACTGCCTCCTCCGGTTTCTCGGTCCTGCCCTTCTCCTTGCCCACAGGGCTGCTGCCTTGGCGGCCAAGGGAAGAAGCAAACAGAAGACAAAGACCAGAGACTGAAGCAGAGAGCGGGGCTTGCAGTTAGCTGGAATGTGGGAGGGGGGCTGCGCGTGAACACTCCTCGTGGGCCGCCTGTGCGTGTGTGTGAGCGTGCACACGTGTGTGGAGCATACCGAGGCGGCGCACAGGAACACTGGGGCCGAGCCTTCCTTCTCCTTGACTTGGCTGCTGCAGCCCTGGTTCTTTTCCATCCCCACTGATGAAACACTTCTTTATGTCTTATTCACATCCTGTCTTGACTACCACAATTGTCTCCTTGCCGGGCCCACATGTCTCTCATCACCAATGGGATCCAAATGTTGCTGACAAACTAATCTTGCTGACTTTGTGCTGCAGTCACATTCCTCCACTCTTCCAACGTTTGCTCTGTCGTTTCTCCCGTTACCGGGCGAATCGCACACACAGACCTCCACCTCTCTGTGCATCCTCGTTTCCCCCTCAGTCCCCATGCCATTCCTCTCTCTGCCTCTCCTACAGGCTCCTTTCCCTCCTCTTGCTATTCCTGAGCTCCCGGCTCTTTCGGGCCTGGGCTGGCATCTTGGCACAAGCTTCTTGCACTGTGTGTTCAGTCGGCAAATGTTTATGGAGAGTGACAGGCGCTCTTCTAGGCGCTGGAGTGAAGCAAGGAACAAAACTGAGGGCAGCAGTCAGCAAAGAAAAACAGTCAAGGACTGTAAGTACTATGAGGGAAACATAAGCAGAGAGGGTCAGAGAGTAGCTCTGACACAGGGTGGTTGGGGAGGCCTCCCCCAGGAGGCCTAGAATGTGCTCCCCACCTTTCTTCCATGTGGGGTTCAGGACTGGCCTCTCTAACATTCTCCTGCTTTGCCAGAGGCCTCCCTTCCCATCCTTCTCGTTGTTTGGATCATGTTGACCTTGACCTTGAGAGCCAGGGAGGCACTGGGCATAACTCTGCTGCAGCAGGAGACCTGCTGCATTATTGACTCATGGAAGACTCACCGGGCAGGAGGAACCAAGCATGCACACCCGAATCACCAAGCACAGGCCCAGGCCTCTTGCTCTGTCCAGAACACAAACGGTCATCTAAATATGGTGTCTGAATGATTTAGTGGGAGCTCTGCCCGGCTGTCCCATCAATGTCCAAATTGTGTCTCCCCTTTCCTGGAATCAGCGAGCACCCATTGGCATTGGTGATCTGGCTCTGTCTACTCCAGCCAGGCCTCCCCCTCTTCAAAGCACAGCAGAGCCTACCGCATGGCTGCTTGATGCCCAGTGGCACCATCTTCAGCTTTGAACAGCTTACAGGAAAAGCGTCAATGAACAATTTTATTAGCAAGTGAAATGACTAACATTAAATTTGCATCAATCACAATTACTACCAGTTGTTTTTTTTAAAGATTTTTTATTGTTTATTTGACAGAGAGAGAGACAGCGAGAGCAGGAACACAAGCAGGGGGAGTGGGAGAGGGAGAAGCAGGCTTCTTGCAGAGCAGGGAGCCCGATGTGGGGCTCGATCCCAGGACCCTGGGATCGTGACCTGAGCCGAAGGCAGACTCTTAATGACTGAGCCACCCAGGCGTCCTGCAATTACCACCAATTTTTAACAAAATTGTCATCTCTGCGTGTTTTCCTTCCTGGGAGGGGGAAGCCTCAGAGGGGTAGGAAGATGAGGTCTGGCTTTCTGTTTAGATTGGGAACAAAGTTATAGATTGCTCATCTTTTCACAGAGGCTCTCGGGCAGCCAGCTCACTAGTGATCGTCATGCCGCCCGTAACAATTGTCCTTGGCCCAGGTGTCTTAGCACAGTCTAGCTAGATCCCCAGCAGTACATCAGCCGCCCATCTCAGCAGGCTACACGCAACTGGGGTGTGGCCAGTCTGAATCGATGCATGTTACAAGTATAATACACCCACCAGATTTTGAAGACTAAGTACAAAAAAGCAAACATGAAATACCTCACAGATCATTTTTATATTGATTACATGTTGAAATGATATTTTGGGGCTCAATTAAATATATCATTATATTAGATATATATTATAAGTAATAATACTTATAAATGTATTTTTAACATTAATTTCACCTGTTTATTTTTACTTTTTTTTTAAAGGATTTTATTTTTAAGTCATTTCTACACCCAAACTTCCAACCCCAAGATCAAGAGTCGTTTGCTTCGCTGACGGAGCCAGCTAGGTGCCCCCATTTTTAACCTTTTCAATGTGGCTATTACAAATCTAAAATTGCGTATCGGCTTGTCTTTGTGGCCTGCATTACCTTTGTATCAAAAAGTGCACGTCTTGGATCAGATCTTTGCCTTCTAGAACACTGTTTATGGCAGTTATACTTTGGTCAACAGCAATTGTACACAGAACTCCGCTATCTAAAGCACCTAACAGTGGGGCTGCTCAGGTGAGAGAGGGGGATATTTGTAGGGAGAGGAGGCTGGGAGCGGGGGAGGAGCCCTATCCATTCTCTGAACCTGGCCTGGCTCATTTATTATTGGATTGGGTCCTCTGTTCATTTGAAATGGGGAGAGGGGAACAACTCGAAGGAGGCCCCCATTCAATCACCCTAAGTGGAATCTGATCGTTATCTTGGGATAAACATTCCAAATGGAAGGTGAGTGCTGGGAGATTAGGAAGATAAGGAAACCATATGGCCCTGTCAGGAGGTTCCCAGGGCCTTATTCTTGAAAGGATTAATGAATCCAAAGAGGGGGGCCGTCATCTTGGTGTTGTTTTTTGAGGAAGAAGAAGTCCCAAAGCTGCAAATAGGGCTGTGGACCATCTGGAGGAGGAGGAGGAGGACTGGAACTCAGGACCCTTTCTTGCCTTTCCTGGCTTCTCTGCCCCTCTGCACTCTGTGTGCCCCCTTCACAGCAAAGCCTTTCTAAACTGCATTTAGCACTCAGGCCCTCAGAGGCTGGTGTTTCCGGGATCTGGATCCCTCACCCCCTTGTCGAGCAAAATTTCTGGAGATTCTACCTCTGTCCCCCTAGCCCCCCTGCCGCCCATGTTGGCCCTTGGTGGACGTTAAGGTGGGTGCACAGGGGAGAGGGGCTCTCTGCGCAGGGCTGGGGGTGGCCGGGACTCAGGGCCACATGGTGGGGCAGAGAATCGCCAGCTGTGGGGGAGGGCAGGTAACATGAGCCCTGGCCAGAGGGATCTGGGGCTGAGGCGAGGGGGAGGGGGAGGCGACGGGCTTTTGAGCACGTTCTCTCCTCCCCTATGTCATGAGGCACTTCATCCTTCATTCCTCTGGCACTGTCTGTCTTGCACAGCTGTTCTCAGACCCACAACTGGAGGCTGTCAAAGGTATTCGGTTTAGGCGCAAAAGTGGGTGCTCATGGCAGAGAGCGTGGCTTCAGGACGGTATGATAGGGGTCACTAGTGAATAAGAATAATGTAAGACATAACCAGTATTTCCTGAGGGCTCATTTTGTGCCAGTGTCTACCTCGATTACTTGGTTAAATTCACAACGGTTTGACAAGGTAGCTGTCATTTTACCGAGAAGGAAACTGAGGCTCAGAGAGGCTGAGTCACTTGCCCAAGGTTGCACAGCTATTAAGAGCTGGAGCTCGGAGTCAAACCCAAGACGCTGAACCTTAGGGCCCAAGTTCTTGACGTGGACAGTGGCCCAGCACTCAGTTATTCCCATTAGACCCTGACAGTGAGGAGGATTTAGGAGAGACTCTCCTGCTTGGGCTTTGGACAGCCCCAAGGTAACGAGCAAGGCCAGTGGTGTCTGGTGCCAACCCAGTGAGTCTGGGCGGTCACACCTTGCCTGGGGGGGCGGGGGAAACCCAAACCCACTGTTGAGCAAATAGCCCCGGCCAGGAAGAGGTCACCCTGTCACTTCCTTAGGGAGAGGTGGGAACAACGGGGACGGCAGGGGTCCCACAGAGCTCCAGCCATAGGCTTCCCGGCTTCAGGCTGGCCCTGGCCGATGGCTGGTTTGGGGGCTTTTCTGTGCTCTGAGCACATCTAAACATTTGGAGCAAAACAAGAAAGTGAACAATAGACGTTTGTGGGTTAGAGGACAGGGCCGACTTCCCCCTGGGACTCAGCACTGTTCATAAAGCGCCCCAGCTGCACTCTCACGCTGGGGATGTCACTGGGGCCTCCTTGAATCACAGCCTTGTCCTCGCTGGGGGCCGGCGACTGGCTCCTTTTATATCTCGTTGGGGGATGCAAATGCCGGTGGGGCAGCCGGCTGCTCAGGGGGAAGGCATGTTTTCCTGCCTGAATTTTGGGAAATCACACAGAAAAGACGCATCCGAGCCTGACATTGTAGCTCTGCCAAGTCCTCCCCTGACAGACGTGTTCTGATCAGAGCTGTTTGTCCCACAGGAAAAGAATCAGCTTTCTATCAAGTGGACTCTGGGCACCGCCCCAGAGAGCTCAAGCTCCCAAGGACCTGGAGAGTAAGTGGAATGGACTAGTGCTGAGAGCAGTTTGGCCAGCCAGCGATGGTGGCGGTACCCTCAGAAAGGGGCCCGTGGGGTGTCGTGCTGGGTGGGGTGGGGGGCGGGCCAGTGGTGGGCTTCTCCGAGCTGAGCCCCCTCGGGCTGTTCAGACCATGGCTTCCCATTGTCACAGCCAAGGGCAGCAGGGCAGGGAGGGTGTTAGGTGCAGAAAAAGTCAGTGGGTGGAAGGGTACAAACTGGAGCTTGGACCCCCTTCTCGTTCACAGCTGACCCAGTCATGCCAGCTGAGGCCCAGTCAGGCTAAATCCCCCGATCCAGCGCTCCTGCGTCTACCCCTAGGACCCCCAGACAACTGAGAGGGGCTAACATGGAGTGTCCCCGCCTGGATGGCATCTCTGGAAAAGGCTGGAGTGTTTCTAAAGAGGCTGTTCAGACATCACATCACAGTCCCAGACGGCCGAGAGGTTCTTGCACTCACTTGGCTGCCCTCCCTGGGAAATGCTTTGGATCAGACAGCACTTCTGGGTTGTTTTTGCCTGAGGAAAGTGGTAAGAATTCAGCAAGAATCCCATGGTTGAAGGAAAAGTCAGTGGATTTACTTAGCAAAAGTATTTGCAGAGAACCGTCCAGGAGGTGAGCAGGGTGGCGCTGCAGGCCCGGGACTAAAGACACTGGTGTGGGCAAGAAGCCTCCAGATGAGAGCACCTTGGGAGCAGACCAAGAAGAATCTAGAGACAAATGGCTTGGCTTCTAGAGAATAAAGAAAGGGGCTTTTTTAGTGCCTAAGAAGTTCAAAATGGCCTTGCTAGGTCACGCCCGCAAGCTCTGATAGACAGTCTCGTGCTACAGAGTTCTTCTGGAGGGTCTCCCGCGCCCCGTGTCCCTTGGTCATTTAGCAGACGCTTCCTGAGGGCCGCCAAGCTCCTTCAGGCAAGCCAGTTGTGGTTCCACGGTGTGGAGGGTGGGCAGAGAGTGTTCGGTGGCAGGGCAGAAGCGTGAGCCTGGGTTCACAGACGCCAGAGCCGAGTCCTCAGGAAGGAGCCAGGAGTTGGCCGGGCAGTCGGAGAGGAAGGACAGCTAATCCAGGCAGAGCCCAGAGGGAAAGCATGCCCCCTCCCCACCCCTAGAGACAGCTGGGACAATGGCTTATGAGGGGAGCGGGTGCCCAAAGCAGAGTAAGGCCAGCCCTGCATTCTTTGCTTCGACTCTCACGGTTTTCTGTCAGCCAGGCGCGGGCGGGCTGTGAAAACTTCCTGGCACAAGGGCCTCTGTTGAGTTAAGTTCCATCCCTTTTGGCACACTGATTAAAGGCCTCATCCCTGGCTTTGGTGCGGGGTGACCCCCACAAAGACTGTGCCTATAGGACACACTCTCCTTTCATACCTAAAGCTTTCCTGAAAATTTGCCGGTCTGACATGCAAGAGGCAAAGCGAGCATTTGAAAGCTATAAGGGAGGGTTCCGTTCCCAGGGGGCCGAACAATATTATCACTGTATTTTCTTGATTTCCAGTCTCGCAGCATCACCCTCACCCTTGCTCTGAAACACTGTCATTAAATCAATGCAGCTTTAGAACTGGGGGAACATGGGAAATTCCCAATCACACCTCACCTTTCGATCCAATCTTTGACCATGTTAGGTACGGAATGTCCTATATGCTCTCTAATTTATTATTCTCCTTCACAATTGAACACACAGGCGACTGGCTGAAATCCAGGGAACATTTGATGGAGGCCACGTATTCTTGTGGCGCGCCTAATGATTTCCATCTCTGTCTCAATTATATCAAGTTTAGGAGACCTGCCTTTCTTATCACCAGCATCAGCGCTTCATTTTTCCATTTTCCACTTGTTCTTATAAAATAACAAGGTCAAAATGCAGTAACATATTCAAATACTCGCACAAACACTGCTGAACCGTCAAAAGGTGATGCTGCTGAAACCAAACCCTTGGCCTCCAGGCAGCATTCCCACGTGATGGCTTGAAATGTGAGTTCATCTGCCAACGTGGGAGAGCTTCAAATCAGTGGTTGGCTGGTGCAAGGGGTTGGGGTGCTGTATATAGGTCAGTGTAGAATGTATGAAAAAGAAGGGTGGGCCAGAGTGAAAGGTACAAGCGGACGGTCGTCTACAGTGATCCCATCCTCTGGCGCTCAGTGGGTATAAATCCTGCTACCTCCTGCCCAGACGTACAGGCACCGCCACCCAATGGGACTGTTGCTGATGGCTCTTCTCCAAGCAGATTGTATTGTATCACAGACATGCTCCGGTACACCTTCCAACATCTCTGAGTCTGCAGGTGTGTGTGTGTGAGGGAAGGGGGGTTGTACGGACCACCATCCCATTTTCCTATTCTGCACACTCATCGCAGAGAGAAGTCAGTTCTAGGTAACACTTTCCCAAACAACTCAGCTGCAGGCTGATCTGCAGGCAGCGGGGGCTGGGGGCTGTTATCATCTCCAGAGATAGGGGGCTTACTGGCCAACAGAGTGGTGAAAGGACACTTAGTGTTAGCTTGAAGAAATTCCTAAGAAGACAGAAGGGTGCCTGGAAACAGGCAGCCAGGATTTCTCTGCCACTTAGCAACCCTGGCAGCTGAACGTGACTTAGGTCTCTAAGCTTGTAGCGAGTGTGGAGTGTGGTCCCAGCACACACTCAGCAGTTCTGAGGGATATACTGAGAAGAGACTCTTCATCTCTCCACAGAGCTGTGTGAATACCAAGAACCTTTCCTCAAAGCGCCTGGCTCTTGAATCAGAATCCTTTATGTGGGAAGGATTTGTGAGGAAGTGGTAAGTGAAAACCTGGTCTTCATTCCTTGCCAACTAGCACATTAGAAGTTAAAGAATCCAGTCGTGGACATAGGAGACCTGGCCTCCAGGCCCCCCTCAACCCTGTCTTTCTGAGTGGTTCTGGGCAGTTTCCCTCATTTGCAAAATAAGAAGGTTGGTCTGTATGAGCTCTCAGCTCGAATACTCACTGTACTGGTGAGTTGAGACAACAAGTGAAATGTGAATCAAAGTGTGATTTTAAAAAATACATCTGGGAGGGCGCCTGGGTGGCTCAGTCGTTAAGCGTCTGCCTTCGGCTCAGGTCATGATCCCAGGGTCCTGGGATCGAGCCCCAAGTCCCGCATCGGGCTCCCTGCTCAGCGGGAAGCCTGCTTCTCCCTCTCCCACTCCCCCTGCTTGTGTTCCAACTCTCTCGCTGTGTGTCTCTCTGTCAAATAAATAAAATCTTTAAAAAAAAAAACAAAACATCTCGGGAAATATTTATGGTCTTCGCAACTAGAAATGTGACCAAGGCAATGTAAATCAACCCTCAGATTTGTAACAAACCACGAGGGAGGATTCGGGGGCTCCCAATCAGGCCTAGAACACAACAAAATTACAAAGTCCTTTGCTTCTGAATCAAATCCTCCCAAGCCAGTTCCTCCTCCTTCACCTGCCCTGGTGGAAGGTTCACAATTTCCCTTCAAGATTCTGAGGGGTACGGAGGCTTTGGTTACAAGCGAAAAGAAGAAAACCTCCTTTTGATTAAACTGAGGACCAAACACTTCCCAGAGTTGCTAAGGCCCACATTTTGTGTTTTGCTTGAAGTTTGCGAGACCTAGTCTGAAAGGCAGTGTCCCCCTACCCTTAAAGAAAATGGGACGGAGAGGTGGGGTTTGTGATTTTTCTGTTGCAAACCTTCCCAGTGCAAGGCCTCCTCCTCCTCCTCCGCAGTGCTGGTAAACAAACACCTGAGCTGGGAAGGAAAACTACCTGGGAGTCTGCAGGGAATGCCAGCAGGACAAGGGGAGGGAGGGCGCAGGGGCAGAGCCAGCTCTCCAGCGAGCTGAAAGCCTACTTTTGTTTGAACCTCATCCCAGTCTTCACCTACCTACCCTTGAGAGGGAGGGGCCAAACCAGGGAAGGTGTGATTTCCCCGAGGGCCCATTCCTAAAACCTGGCAGCAAGAGGGCTAGAAAGCTGTGGATGCTGAAAGCCCGGGGTGATGTCCTTTCTGCAGCGCCCCTTAGGGCCCCAAACTTGCGGGAAGGAAGGATTCCACAGCTCACACACACCTCCCCCCGTTCGGGTAGGTTTGCGCCCGCCCGAGTGCCCCACTTTTCAAAGTGACTGAGTGATAGGCACTTTCTAAACGCACAGCGCCGGACTGAAACCAAGCGTCTGACTTCGCGGGTTCGCACCCCCCTGGCTGCCCGGGGACGGGTGCTCGGCTGAACTTCAGCACCTCCTTCCCGGCGCGCTTTGGAAATGCTTCTGTTCACCCTCAGGGTCCCCATTTTCTGATTCTTACTGTTGGGGACCCCCAAAGCCTCTGCACCCACCCCCAAGACGCAGCCCGGGCGACCGAAATGGCTGAGTCAACTTGGCGAAACAAGAGCGTCCCCAGCGGGCCCGCCGCCCCCAGCCCCCTTCGCCCCTCGCTCGGCCCCACAATGCGCCCTTGTGCCGCGCCTGCAGCCAGGCCCGGGGATTTGGCGCAGGGACTGGGGGGCGGGGGGGGGGGGGAACAGTCGTCAGATATTTAAAACAGAGCTGAGGGAACAAAGCAGGCCTTTGTGCACAGAGACAGCCGGGCGCGGGGAGCGGGCAGCGCGAGGGGTGCTCGGCGCATGCGCGAGGCGGGCCGGCCGCGCTCGGGTTACCCAGAGTTTTCCACCAGGGTCCGCCCGGGCCTGTGTTAACCCCTTGCGGGCCGCTCCCCGGGGCGCAGGCTGACGGAGACGCTGCCTTTCATCTGCTGCCCGTTACACGTTTAATTGAAAAAAGAAATAGTCATTTCCCATGTTTCTATAGGAAGCACAGATCATTAAAATAAAATGATATACCAGTTGGGAACCCAGCTTTTAAATGAGCGGGATTTAATGGGACACTTGGGCAGTGTAAAAATCGAGGCATTTCGAAAAGACGCCTTCTTCGGACGCCAGTGAAACTTTTTTAAAGGACTAGCTTCTTCTGTCTTGTGTATGCTGGGTGATTGGCTGCTTCGTTTTCCTGTTTACAGTCACTTGGGATTTGGAAGATATGTTGGTTATTGTCAAGGTTCTGACTTTTGTTTGGGGTGGTGGGCTGGACGGTGTTTATTTTTAAAAATAACTAAATAGAGGTAGAGTGTGCATGGTACAAGGATGAGATTGGGTCATGAACTAAGGAATATAATTAATCTCATCTATGCACTAGAGTTTCTTACAGAAAGACAGAGGGAAGGAGGGAGGGGGAAGGAAGGAAGGAAGGAAGGGAGGGAGGGAGGGAGGGAGGGGAAGGAAGGAAAGAGTTATTAAGCACATTTTGTTGTGTTGGGGGAGGAGATTGAAGAGGTCTCTCCAGTAGTATAGACTAGGAGTGACTTGGGGATGGGATGTGCAAAGTACTCCATCCTGCTTTATACTAGCAATGATCACCTTCCCCTGGTATGTAATGAGGAGTGGCAGGCAGAGGCTGGGGAAGTTAACTGCAGATTTAGAAGTGAGTTATTATGCTTGAATTATCCAGATGAATGGGAAGGGCAGTCTCAAACCTCCAGGTGATTCTACAGCCTTCCAAACAAATCTCCTGGGCCCAAGGTTAGAGGGACAGCCCCCAACAAAGCAAGTCAGGGGGAAGGGAAGGACATCTCATGATTGGTAGCCCCCAGTCTTTCCCTCCTGATGTGTGCTAGGACTCTGCATCAGCTTGCTCTGCTCTGCCTGTGTCCATACATCTGAGGAATTTATGGCTCTTTCTCTTTCCTTCATAGCTTCATGACCAGGTGGTCACAAGAAAGCGGAGATTTCCATGTGAGGTCATCTTGGCAAGAAGCTCCCTCACCATCCTTGACTTCCGGGTCTCCAGGGCAACCACTGCTGGGGTGTCATAGGCACCAGAGCGTGTCCCTTGAAGTCCACGCTGGGCAGATAAGCAATTTTTTGGCAACTGTCATGTAACAAATTCATTCTCAAATGAGGATGATGTATATGGTTTTTTTCCCACTCTCTTCCACATTCTGGCCCAGAATTCTGGGCATAGGACATAGTCTAAGAATGTACCTTGGGATGCGAGTTAAGAGAATAATGTGAGGAAGGACTTGGAGAAAGAAGTACTTCTAATCTGAAACTAATGATGTACTATATGTTGGCTAATTGAATTTAAATTTTTAAAAAAGTACAAAAAAAAGTACCTTCTTCTGGACAGAGGGACAAAGTAGTTTTCCTTTTGGCTTCCCCAGTCCATAGCTTATTTCCTCTCCCTCTCCACGCTCAATAAAGGAAGTTGTGGTAGACAGTCTCCAAATTGGTAGCCCCCAGTCTTTCCCTCCTGATGTTTATGTGCTGCTTCTCACCTCTCCAAACTGGAATAGCCATAGTGACTGGCTTGACCAACAGAGTACAGTAGGTTACATTCTGGAACTTCCAAGGTTTGGTTATCAGAAGCTTTGTGATATCTGTCTGGGTCTTTTAGAAGCTTTAGTCCTGGGACACTTGCTCTAAAAACCAGCTACCATCCAGTAAGAAGTCCAAGCCACACAAAGAGGCTGGAAATAGGTGCTCTCGTCAAGAACCCCAGCTGAGCTCTCCACCAAGATTCACATCCCTGCCACCTTGTGAATGAATGGCATCCACTTGGCTGTGCAGCTCAGTAGAACTTTGCGGGCACTCCAGCCCTAGCGACCGGGTGACTGTAACTGCAAGAGATCCTGAGTGAGAACCAGCTAGCTGAGCCCGGTCAGCACAGGTATAAGAGAGAATAGTGAGTTGTTTTAAGGTACTACGTTTTAGGGCGTTCTGTTATGTAGCAATAAGTAATTGAACAGGAATGCAATGCTGGGTGGGGAGTGAAAGGAGAGGAGAGGAACTTCTGACAACGTAGTCACTTTGAGGGGCTCTATTTCTCTTTCTCTCCCCCTCGGTACCCCCAACACCAGCTGTTCTTTCTGAGCTGTGCCCGGCCCACAGCCCACAAACCTTATGCTGCTGCTGATTGTTGCGTGGGTACTCAGCTCCTCCGTGGGATGGGGGACACCCTGAGGGTAGGGCCCTGTCTTATTTGATTCTTATCCTCCCTGGTACTGACAGATTCATCAGGCTGCTCTAGTGGATACACATGGAGAATAACTGCTGGAACAGGATTTCAAGGTGCTTAAGTGACTTGGCTTCTGATCTTTGACATTTAATACCTGATATCTTATGTCCCTGCTGCCTGGGCCCACCTAGGGGCTAGCCACACCGTGGGGCAGTCTGAACCCCACCAACACTCGGGCCACTCAAGAGAAGGAGATCAGGGCCAAGGGGGCAGTTACAAATCTCCTGATTGGATTTGTCCCTCTGGAGGCTTTAGAACCAGAGAGAGGACACGTGTGACGGCTCTGGGAACCAGAGGGGGTTTGTAACTGTGCGGGTGGAAGGAGACCCCACGAGAGTGCAAGCCCCCAGGACTCATTAGTGGCGCTCCCAGGAACAGCTGAGAGCCCATCGTGTGAAGGACACTTCCACATGTTCAAGGCCTCCCCCAGCTGTCCATCACTGGACGTGTGTGTTTAAGCCATGCCAGCCAAGGTCAGTGGCGGAGATGCGGGTCAGCTTGTGTAGAACCTGGTGTCTGCTCAGGGGCCCTGCTAAACCCAGGGCACACTCAGAGCTTGTGAGAGAGGGAGGAGCAAAGCAGGGCAAGGGCAGCTCAGGAGAAATTTCTTTATCCCTTCAATAAACATTCACCTGTAGTCAAGCTTGGCTCCAGGCACTGGGCACACAGTAGGAGGCAGCCCCTGCTTCCAGGTAAAACATCTTCTGGGGGAGTTGTATCTCAGATCATGTCACCTGTGTAAGCAGGGGAGCTGTATCTTCCCCCCTCATTACAGCTTAGCCCTCTGACTTCATTTAAGGGCCCGGAAATCCCCGTGCTGTGGAGGTAGTAATGGGTGTGGGCACAAAAGTCACATGATCTGGGTTCAAGTCCTGGCTTCACCAGAACTTACTGGCTGTGTGATCTTGGGCAAGTTGCTTAATCTCTCTGAACCCCTTCCCCATCAGTAAAAATAAGTGCTTCATCTCAGGGTTGTATGGGGATTTGATGAGACCCTGTTGGCAAAACAAGCACTTAGCTCCATGCCCATAACTTGTTTTCTAGCCTCCAGGAAGACTGGGCAGATGGGCAGATACCACAGGATACCATGCTGGGAAAGCATTTCTGAGACAGGGCAGCTGCCTCTGCCCACAGGTATGAGTTACTTTTGTGACATGTCCCTGTGATGTAAAGAAATCAGCGAGGGACCACAGCCCATTCTCCTGTAGCAACCAAGCATTTGCTCGAATCGCAGTCCTTTTCCCATAACACAGGTGTTATGCCACCATTCAGACGACATTGTCAGCTAATCATTCTGAGCATGGAGTATGTTCTCTGGTGAGAAGCCGGGCCCTCCATGGGGAGGGTCGTTTTTCTGAGAAAATGCCCACTTTACCTCATCTCTCAGGCCGTACTTCCTGACCAACAGGCTCTAAGTAAGTGAAGCTAGAGCCCAGTGTCTGGGAAAGATTCTAAACCCCTGGTGTTTCCAACACAGAGGGGATATACTTCCTGTAAATCTTCACTCTCCTTAAAGTAGTTTAACAGAAATAAGGCATTTGATCCTTCCTTAGTACATCTCAATAGTTCAGTTTTCACTGTCATCTGAATTCAGGACATAGAAAAATAAAACAGAAAGCCTTATTGGGCCTACTGGTTTATCCATCATATTCTATTACCTTCTAAGAAGTCTGTCCAAGTAGCATATCTGGCCACTTGAGGAACACCTGGCTGGACTATTTAGGTGGTGGCAAGGGAAGGATTGGCTTATTTTCCTCCCCAGATGTAATTCTTTGGGCTCTCCACCCAGGGTCACTGCTAGCTCACATGCATCTCTGTGCAGACAAGAAAAAGGCACCCGTTCCTCTGTGTGGAGGCAGCCATGCCGGGGGGACATCATGGCCAGCAGAGCGAGGGCTGGATTGCAGTCCCCACTCACCATCTTGTGCCGTGAACAGCCTGCATGGCTCCACATGGTGGCCCTGCCTCTACCCACATCAGCAGGGTCACTAGGTCTGGTTTCTTTCTTGGAGATGTGTCTGCTGGAGTGGGATGGGGAGGGGGGGTACTCATTGCCGTACGTTAGAGACAGGTTTCCCGAGGCCCAAGAGCAACACCTAACGTGGGTATGTTTGGAGGTCTGGGAGACTTTCAGGGTATGTGTAGTAGGGGCACTTTTTCAGGGACAGAGAACCCAGCCTTTGAAGTTAAGACAGTTCTGGGGGATGGAACAGCTGGTCAGTCTGCCCACAATCCTGCCGGGAAACCTGACAGCAAACGGCCTTGGATTTGCTCATTTGGATGCTTTATGGTCATTTCCAAGAACGCTTCACAGTCTTCTGAGAAAGAGAGGGTAGGCTTATGGCACTAGTCTCCCCTTGTCTTCTTTTGAGCTTTGGTCTGTGGTTAGGACATCTGGGCACAGGAGTTTAACCCATCTCTGCTTTCATATCTAAATCCAATCACCTGTCAAGAGGCTGACCTTCTCTGCTTTAATGAGTCCATTTATGGAGTTCTCCATGGTGTGATCTGTCCGGGAAAGGGGTGGGTCCGGAAGACTCCCTGTGGGATCTCAGGGGTATCATCTTCCCTAGTTGTGACCCAGCAAACTCACCTCTAAAACGGAATGAACAGCACGCAGCGCATCCATATCATGAATAGATTCATGAGGACTCACGAATTTAAGTTTAGTTAGATTTTTTTGGTAAATGGATACATTACCAGACCCATCACCAAATGCTGTTAGTAACCAAGGACTCTCAGGACATGTGGAGATATTTGTTAGTTTCCTAGTTTATTTCTTCAATAAACATTTACTGCATACTCCCACGTGCCAGCTCTGTACTAGGCTCTGGGTGAAGAGGCAAATGAGAAAAATACTCTCTTGCTTTCTGTTTAAATGCCATTTCCTTGGGAAGGCTTCCCCGACTACACCCTCCCAAGGCTTGGGACCCCTGTGTATATTCCCTTTTGGTAAACAGCACTGTACTTTAATTACTTGATCCATTTCTATTTTCACCACTAGACAGCTTCAGGAGCAAAGGGGCCATGTCTGGTTGGCACTAAATTCTGGCACCATGTAGCTCCCCAAAATATGGATTGAATGAATCCATTTGTAACCCATCTCATATACTAGATCAGAGTGGCTTCTCCTCCTGTGATCCTCCTTTGTTTAGGGCATCTGGCTCATGTGGAGGGTTGAATCCCAAGCAGGGATTCCTCTGTTCCTGAGAGGGTCAGGACCAATTGATTGCCAAGGACCGTCCAGCTTAAAGCCAGCAGTTCTAGGACAGATGGGGCTCTAGAGGCCTAGACAGTAAATAGGTAACCAGAGCGTGGGGGTGTGGGCCAGATGAGAGGCATGCTTGCAGGAACATTCCAAGTGCCCAGGCTCCAGACCTAATCCCTTCTTTGGGAAAGAAACAAAGAGGTGAACTGGGAATGCAGCTCTGAAGAGGAGCCCCCTGTGGGCCTGATGCTGACCATCCTCCACTCCTAGCACATGTGCTTCAGTTGGGGGAGATTGACCTCCAATGGGTCTGCCAGAGGCAAGAGGAGAGAGGTGAGTGGTGCTGTGGCTGTTGGCCTGCTTCCTACACCTGAGAGCTCTGTGTCTGGTTACACTCATTGTCACCGTGCACAGAACGGAGGTCACTGCTGGAAGGAGATTCGTTGGGCCCTGGTTGCTGACAGCACTGTTTTAGTCTTGCCTGGCCATTAAATCCTGGCTTTGTTGTTCTGTTGTCAATAGCAACAGGAGGCAAGGCAGTTTTCTCCATGTTGGGAGCTTATTTTTCTCTCCTGTTAGATGGGCTATAACCAGCCCAGGGCCCTTGCATGCAGGCTGGGTGCCCTGGGTTCCCCATCAAGGCCTTAAAATCCACACCGTGGTGGCGGGGGAAGAAAAGGTCAGGTTAGCTCTGCCCAGACACACTGGGAGTGGCAGGATGAAGGGGGACCTGTGAGTGGGGAGTTATCAGCTCTTCTAAGATTGGGCTCAGTTGCCCCGCTTTAGTTTTAACGGCTACAAAACATCTGTGGTGGCTGCCTTGGGTATGCTTAAAATATGGGAGTAGAGGAAGAAAAAGGAGAGGAAAAAAGGAGAAAAAACAGAAAAGGAATTTTAAGAGTAGAAGAAAAAGAGATGGGGAGGGAATGAGAAGAGGAGAAAGGTGTCTGTGGAGAATTGCAGTAACCCTAACTGCAGCCCCTGGCATCACTTGGGATTTGAAGCCAAAGTGGGGTGACCCCACAGGCCTGGATGAAAAAAATAGGGATACTCTCTGAATGGGGCTTTTGCTTCCCATTGGGAAGGAGCTGCCATCATGGAGGGGTGGACGGATGGATTGATGGATGGATGGATGGATGGATGGATGGATGGATGGATGAATAGGACAAAGACCAGTGGGATAGGATTTGCCAAGGATTGAATGAGTGAAGGGGGAAGAAATAGAGTGAAAAGTGAGAGAATCCAGTTATGGGGTGAAACATTTTAGACAGGGACTATCAACTATGATATTGGTGCCAAGCGGTGGTAGTGGGGGGACTTCTCTCCGGCCTATTGCTGTCTTAAATAAACATATGACCTAAGAGAAAAATAGTATTTGCTATACAAATAGCTTGAAGAAAAATCCCCTAGCCTTTGTATTACCCAGTTTTCCATCTCTAGGTCCTCCTTTACGGGAACTCCAGAGCTGCCACTGGTCAAATGCAAGGAATTGTGTCTCCTTTAACTAAATCCCTTCCAATACCAAGTGAATTTGGCTTGGATAGATAGGCAAGGGCCTGAAACATAATTAGAGGAAGCAGGGAAAATAAGCTTCAGATTAATTTGAGGATAGGAAGAGTTAAAGAGCCTCAAAACTGTCAGTCACTCCTACTCAAGGATTTGGAGTATTAATTACTCTAACAATAGCAAATCATTGAGTGGATTGTCTTTTTTCTCCCTTCAGTAAAAAATGTTAAGTATAGACCTATTCCCAGGGAAGGCCTCAGTGGGAATTAGGGTCAGGGTCAAGGGTTAGGGATCAAAGGGTTACACCCTCCAAGCCTTGAACCAATAGTGTGGGTGGCTGGCACAGAGGTGAGCCAAGCTTCTTTCATGGAAGTTCCTTATCAGAAGTCAGACTGCACAGAGGGATACTGTCAGTCAGGTTATAACAACTAGTGGTGGTGGGAGCAGGTCAGAAGG